TGGCTCCAACCGGTACTAAAGACCCCCCCCCCTTTAGTATCGGTTGGAGCCACCAACCGGCATTAAAGGCCACCACCTCTTTAATACCGGTTCGTGGCACGAACAGGTAGTAAAGGTTCGCCACGAACCGGTACTAATGAGCGCCGCCCGCCTAGCCGTTGGAACCAGCACTAATGGTCACATTAGTGTCGGTTCAATTGCAAACCGGGACTAATGAGTTTCACATTAGACCCTTTTTCTACTAGTGTTCGCATCTTTTTCCTCCTTGGGGGCATCATCTCGGAGCCGAGCACGACTGAGAGATTGGAGGATGATGGCATCTTCGCCGTCGATGGCGGTATCTTCGCCGCGTGGTTTGCTGAGGCGGGGCGCTGGTTTCTGTTTGGCAACAATTATGGCGTCGAGAGGAGCTTGGGTCGCGGCGTGGTCTTTGGTAGTCGGTTCTTCCCGGCGCAAGTCCTGCATATTTCTCTTGTGTTGCTCGTTGTCAAAGTTGGAGCTGTCGGTTGCTTGCGCGTGGGGCCATCTGTTGGCATGTGCCGTTATGGTTTTTGTTACATGTCGGTGGCCAGATTGGCCGATGTCATGTGGGTTGTGTTGTATCGGTTTTAGCCCGGTTTTCCGTCAATTAACCGGGCAATTCTCTTCTTCTTAATCAATGAAAATGGCAAGTCTTTTGCCTCGTTTTTTTTTTTTACTTCTTCCGTTCCTAAATATAAGTCTTTGCAGAGTTTCCACTATGAACCACATACGGATGTATATAGATGCATTTTAAAATGTACATTCGCTCATTTTGCTCCATATATGGTCCATAGTGGAAACTCTTCAAAGACTTATATTCACGAACGGACAGAGTAAAAGGTAATCCACTCATGGGTTCAGTTTATCTCCATCGACCAGTCCCTCCCAAAAATAAAAATAAAATCTCCATCGACCATGACGCATAGAGGTCGTCTGTCGTATGTCTATGCCCACTCGCTCCAAAAGTGAAGTAAGTAGTACAATAATTGACAAAACTTCATCTCCCAGCCTGCCACGTGAGCACGTACTCTTGTTAATTGCAAGCTTCTTCCTGGAACGATTGCATTTTTTTCTTTCATATCAACAAATTGCGAACGTTTGAATGTGTCTTTGTTCATTACTCCTGTCGTCCACCATGTTTTTTAATCAGTAACGAGGAATCGTGTTCCTCAACAACCAGCTGATATATACTGCAAAAAATGTCTCGTGGATCATGAGGCCACACATGCGTGCCCGCTTGAGTAAATAACTTCGCCAAGATATGAGCTTCATCATTGAAATCCCTCAATTCGGGGCTGAATTGCACTTTCCAAAATTGGATTCTTGTCGTCTACATCTCCTTGATTGACCAACCATATGGCCCATGGTTTGGTTTGGAAATTGCTTTGATCACCTCACTACAGCATACTACATTTGCCCTGACGAGAAAACAAGAGATATTGTTGGGTAAGCCATTCAGCAACAACCGATTGTCAGTGATGCACTGTTGGCAATACTTTGTTGGGGATAGGCACATAGCTCCAACAACCTTGCTGGTGCTTGGTTTTACCGGCGGTGGTCATTATGGGC